TAATAAGCAACTATTTACTAGACGTCAATGTTGATAAATTTCGATCTACTAATGGAGACTACAAAGTTGTAATCCATGGGGACACTGAGGTTCTTCAGTGTCTTTCTGATTTCCCTACATGGCCATTTGACTTCTATAGTTTTGCGAATTTTCATGATATTGATATCGTTGATGACTCAATTCTTTATGGTAAAAATTTTAAATTTTTTTTAATCGAATTTTGGTGTAATTTTATTTTTTTATTATCTATATATTAATCTATATATTATTTAATAAAATGATATTTATTTTTTGTGATTATATTTTAGATGCTATTGGCATGGTGGTCGAGGTGCAACCCATACAATCAGAATGGCTTCATGAAAAAGAAAAGCAAAAGATAGTTTTTTCAATGATGGATTTGGAGTAAGTAATATTTATTACATGAATTAAACATTTATAATAATGTCGATTGAAATCTAATATGTTATTATTTTTTCATTAAATAGTGGATTACTGATGCGTTGCACACTTTGGGGTGATTATATTGATACGTTTATTGCTTATGAAAATCATTTTGAATTTGAGGCAAATGGAGAACCATGGGTTCTCATTATGCAATTGTGCAAGACAATACATGGTACAGGTATTTCAAATTTGCAATTTATTTATTTAACATTACCATATAAATTATATTTGGCGAATATATTTTACATTACATTTTAATAAATATGGTTTTTTAGCAGGTGAATATCAATTGACTACATTCCAGAATGTCACGCATCTTATTGCGGCTAATATCCCAGAAATAATAGATTTTCGGGAGAAGTAAGTTTTCTGCAACAATTGCAATATGTGTACTTTTCGTGATGTATATATATATATTGTATTATTTGAGGTATAAATTTTCAACTATCAAATTGATAATTATGTAATTTTGTAATTTTCAACATATTTTATAATTTAATTTGCAGATTTTTAAATAGCAAATGGTACAAGACATCGATGTATTGTTCCAACAGCAAGATTTCATTGGGGAGCCAAATTGAAGATCTTGATATCACTGATGTCGAGGGAGAAAGTGGATGTTGGGAATAAATAATTAGTTGTGTGGTTTTTTGCTTTTTTGATGTTCTTTTCGAATAAATTAGTACTTGTGATGTTTTTTTTATTTTCTGTTTACTTCAATCTCTATGACATTTGGTTATTCTATTGTTCGTTTTTATATTTATATTTGCAATTGAATAGTATCAAATGTTCTGGAATTCCAAATCACCAGTTGCATTTGAAGATTGGAACTCCTGTTATGTTGTTGCGAAATATGGATCATTCTATGGGTTTATGTAATGGGACACGGTTGGTTGTGACAAAACTATCCGCTCATGTTCTTGAGTGTAAGATACTCTCTGGGGATCACGAAGGCGAGAAGGTCTTGATTCCTAGAATGGCTATTACTCCTTCCGATGTCAGACATCCTTTCAAATTTCAGAGGCGACAATTTCCTCTTATGGTTTCTTATGCCATGACTATCAACAAGAGCCAAGGACAGTCGTTATCGCATGTTGGTTTATTTCTTAAGAAGCTGGTGTTCAGTCATGGTCAATTATATGTTGCCGCCTCCCGCGTCAGAAATCGAAGTGGATTGAAAATATTAGGCTATAATGATGATGGCGTGTCGCCAAATCAGACCCAAAACGTTGTGTACAAAGAAGTGTTTACTAATTTATAAATTTTTTAATTTGTTTTTCTCTATTTTACATTTGTTACATAACTACAAAGTGCATTAAATTTAATGTCCCATGAATTGTTTAATTTAATGTCTCGACGCCAAATCAAAAGAAAAACGATGTGTACAAATAAGTTTTCAATAATTTATATATTTATAAACGTATGCGCCCAACGTGTTTACTTTTATTACAAATATAACAAGTTCACTAAATTTAATCATTAATATTTATATAAGTTCAGAAAAATATACCATTCCGTGCATCGCACGGGTCAGTACTAGTTTAAAAGAAATAGATAATGTCGTATTTATCATTAATCTAAAAAAATTACCACCAAACGAAACATAAAATTGTAACATCATCATGAAAGGCCGTCCAACCACAATATCCAATCACCAACTTTAACTAAATGCAACATAGCACGAGTTTTGAAAGTTGAAATATCATATCTACCAATAAACAAGTCTCTTCTTTTAACAACCCTAAATAGTAGAGTATACTCCGTTTTTGAACTAATTTATTATGGTGGTGAAAAAAGGAGGCATATAATCAAAGCAATAATCAATCAATCCTTGGGAATAGGGAAAAGAATTGAGGATTGATTGGGACTGAGATCTGCTGAGTAGACCCATCACTCCCTCTTATACTTTACAGGTTGATGATCGCCATTTGGCCTTTTCTAATCACTTTATTTT